TATATATGTATATGTGTATATATATATATATGTATATGTGTATATATATATATATGAATATATATATATATATTAAGAAAAAGGAGTTATTTATTGCTCCTTACATGTTAAACAAACAATTGAATTACAAAACAGAAGGGTTAGATCACTAAACCTACACCCTGATCTCATACCCCATATAGATCTTACAAATCAAGCTCACAAAATGAAAGAAAGAAATCTAAGTAAAACCTTGTATGTACCCCCCTGACAAAATCAATCTCTACAATGAAGATAAGGAATGGATAAGGTGTTCCCATGTAGTAAGAGAGCTAACTGATTAGGAGGTATAGTCCCTACAACAACCTCTTCAGTTTCCTTCCCGTTGATTGCCAAACTGTGTGCTGGAGTGTTTCCTTCTCTAAGTATGTGCTGAAAATGCACATAAACCTTACTCAATAGTCTTTTAATATTATTGTGCCACCAAACAAGGTTCCATGGAGCAGCTTCCACATGATTCAGAATTTTGATGCAACTACTGGAATCAGATTCTATTACCAATTTAGAGATGTTACATTGCTTGAAAAGGTATATAGCCCAGAAGATGGCTATCATGCATCATTAGCCCAAGTAGGGGATGAAAAGTAGAAAATACACTTTCCTAGGAGTAAATACACTGTCCTAGGAGTTCCTAATAACTCCACCCACACCAACAGCCTCCTTAAAGAAGCTTCCATCAGTATTAGGCTTCAGCCATCCCTTATGTATGTGGGGGGTCCAAAGGACCAAAGTAGGCTTGCTTACCTTCATATTGATCCCACTGGGCATCCAAATCTGGAAAATATTGGGATATTTCTGATGCATTATAATCTTTTACAGATAGGAAGTGCAATTTGAGACCACTACCTTATCCATAGGTTTCATACTTTCATACTTAACTTGATTTCTGCTCATCCAAATGAACCATGCCACAACACAAGGAATGAATATCAGCTTAGCTTCCAACCACTCCTTCTAGCAATCCATAAGGTTTTGCCAATTGAACTTCAGAGTATCAATGCTGAGCTGGTTCAACAAACTAGATCAAACCTTTTGGGAGTAACTAAAGGAGAAAAATAAATGTTCCGGACTTTCTTCATTCTTGCTTCGCAGCCAGCAGCAAGAAGGACCCCTAAGCCCTTTCAATTTTAAAATATCATCACATAGTAGAAAGGAATTCCACAGTCTCCAACAAAAAAAGGACATAGAAGGGGTCAACCACTTCCCCCAAATAAATTTCCCCCACATAAAAGGTTGTCAATGAAACAATTGCCAGAAAATGTAAGCTGAAAACTTCTGTGAGGGAGCCTGTTTAGTGATGAGTTTATTTTTTTCTCCAGGATTGATTTTAGTTTTCTTCACCTAATACATTTGCTCTTCAGTTAAGATAGTTTCCAGCAAATTACAATTCCATTGATTTTCAGTCCAGAATTCCTTCACTTTAGTTTCAGAGTTTGGATTGGAGGTGTCAATTCTTTCCCCATTCCAAATCCATTTATCTATCCAAAAATTAATTTGACCTTCTCCAAGTTCCCAAATAAACAGATCCTCAGCTTTATGCCTCACCTCCAAAAGTTTAGTCCAAAGCCTGGAATCTCCAACTTTCTTCTCAGCCAAGTTAGGGTGAACAGTCCTGCAGTATTTCCCCTTCAAAAATAAAGCCCAAAGACTATCTTGGACTCTAAACTTTATCCAAAGTTTACAAAGAATAATGACACTAAGATGTTGAAAATCCTTAAAGCCTAAACCACCTGCATGTAGAGGCTTACACAATTTATGCCAAGCTAACCAATGAAACTGTTTCTTCTGAACAGCCCAAAGAAATTTATTAAACATTCTGCCAAGCCTTATCTGAGTTCCCTTCTTCATAGTAAACAATTGAAGAGCATAGGAAGGGATAGAAGTTAAGATGCTTTTGAGAAGAGTGATCCTACCTCCATTAGATAGGAACTATTTTATTTAGCATTGAAGTTCTTTCTAAATTTGATCAATTACCCCCATTGAATTGAGTTTGTTTAGTTCTCCCTTTTATCAATTTAACACCAAGATAATTGATAGGTAAAGAGTTCAAGCTAAATCCAGTATGTTGTGCAATCCATTGCTTAATCTGTGGAAGAGTATGAGAGCTAGTAAAAATTTGACACTTCTGTTTGTTAAGATACATACCAGATGATCTTTGGAAGTGTTTCAATATTTGATTGAGAGACTTTACTGCATTCTTGGTAGCCTTAGAG